TTCATGCTTTCTCTGTCACAGGCAGCTGCATCATCTAATTCCTTTCATCAAGTGCCATCATAAAAGTTTACCGTTCTCTTGTCGTAGCTCTGTTCCCTTGGGAGGCAATTCCACAGCCTCCCTGCTCTGATCGTTATAAATTTCCCTCTAGATTTTAGCTTCAAATAATTCACAGTCAGTTTACGTTCTTTGTTTGCAAGCCAAAGTTTGTCTTTAGCCTAAATAGTTCCCGTCCCTCTCTGGTACTCTCCCTCTCATGTTTACAGTCTGATTTCTCAAAGGAAACAAAGCTCATGCAGTCACACTGGCTGGCTGGCAGTCTCAGCCTTCCTCAACTCATTTGTAACTTGTTGGCCAGTTCCAACCAGTGCTGGCAAGGAAGCAGTGGTCAGAAATGCAGGCGCCAGCCCCAAGTTGGGTGATAGTCGTTGACTGGGTACAGAGACTCAGTGTAACCCTGTCCTTGGGGTGCAGGCAGTGATAACTCAGCCCTTCTCCACAATCAGAGACAACGGCTGGTGGGTTGTGTCTTGGCTTCCCAGTGTAGCTGGCCTGGGAGAAAGCTTAGGAGATACTGCTGGCAAGAGAGGATAGGGCTTGCTGAAGAATTTTGGAGGGAGGGATTAAGCAGTTTAAGGCCTTAACTTACAGGAAACAAGGCTCCATTAGTTTGTGGAACACTTAGTTATAGAGGCCAGTCATGATTTAAATATGTGCAGGTGTATTAATAAATTCCAAGACAGGGAGAAACAGAACATCAGGGAAAGCCTGGAACAGCACAGTTCCTTCCTGTGCCAGATGACCAGCAAAACACATTTACATCACTCGGCTTTCTTCTGCCCTCAGCATAGGACATAGATGATACATAGGTCTCCTGCTGGCCCCTCTACACGACCATATTTCACCCAGTGAGACAGAGGATAATTGAGATGATTGGTACTTTACATATCTGCCAGCCTGGTCTGTGGGCCATAAGACTCATAAACTGTCAGACTTCTGGGTGCAAATCAACCTTTAGGCACTTGATCAAAGGCAACCTCTCAACTTATCACCTTGCTTTGGCTCTATTTGAAGCTACAGGCCCACACTCCAGAGTGCTGAGGTCTTGTCCTGACCATGACGCCAGCATTTTCAGAGCAAATGCATCCCTGTGGCCATTGCTCAGAGGTGCTGCTGTTCCATTGCTGAGAGAGATGTGCTCAGAAAGTGCTGGGAAGGCTTTCTGTTTTGCCCAGTTGTGTCTGGCCTGAAGCTCTCTGGGACCCAGATCTGACTGCACATCTGACGTGTGTTTCTGTAACTGATGTGACACCTGTCTTGTAAAGTACTAGGGAGCATTCCTGGGGAACAGCTAGTGTGCTGAGAGAAAGCACAGGCAGAAAGCTCCAAAGGCGTTTGCTTTCATGTTTCAGTCTATATTGGTTTACTTGGACAGATTAAGCAGATAAGAGGGAGAAGGAGAGAAATCAGTTTGCCTGCTGAAGATGCCCTCCTGAAGGTGACCTACTAGTTACAGAGTTTTCTAGTCACTCTTATTGCTGAGCATGCCATCACCACAGATCTTGACCAATTATAGTGAGAGAACATTAACATCCTAATGGTTTGGCTGATGCTTTTTATGGAATGAGGAGGATCATTAAACAGTTTCACATTGTTCACATTAGCTGCAAAGTGTGACCCTCTGAAAATTTCTTCTTGGAGTTTACTGAGCTTGAGTCAAGGGTGCACTCCAGGTGCTTAGTGCCAGAGGATTTGAATCTGAGAGGATTTATTTAAATGTGGCACTATCCCCACTGCAAGAGACAAGAGCTGTGAAATCTGGTATCCCTGTAAAGGAGCAAATAGTCTTTCTCTAGTCTGGAGAGGTGAGGCACGGAGGGAGTGACCTGTCTCAGATTTATCAGGGAGCCTGGGGCAGTTCAGGGACCTGAAGCCAGAAAGCAGAAACTGCACAGGGTTGTTCTTCCTTTCACTGACCACTTCAGCTGGTTTGCAGCTGCTTTGTGTTCCTGGGGTGGTAAGAAGCTGCAGTAAGGTACCCTGGTGTAGCTTTCCCTCTCTTATCTCAGTATTGGTTAGTTGCTGTAGGTTTACCTACAACAGCAGCCACCAGGACTGTGACAAGTACTGTGTCAGTGAAGGCTCTACAAGTGATTTTTAGCAATTTGAATAGATAATGCCTAAAATTCTGTGGCTTTCTGTACAGGAAAAAGTGTAAATTCAAATTATATATTAATAACCTAGAGATAAATAAAATGCACAATAACATTGTATAAGATCTCCATATTTAACTCAGAGAACAAATACGCTGCACGAGTGGTACTCTTGGAGTAAGCAAAGGCTCCTGGTGCAAAGGCAGCAGAGGCAGCCTTGGCCAGAAATGCCTCCTCACACAACTGAAAAGCCCAGTGCTGGTGAGTGCAGTCCCCTGCCCTTGCTCAGAAAGAAGTCTGGAAGTGGTGTCACTCAGGTGTGTACCCTGACCCAGTTTTCCCTGCCTACTGGTAAGTGCCATAAAGCAGCACCTCATTCCTTGGGAGGACAACCGTTGGTGGCACCAGACTTCTGCCAGGAGGAGGAACTGTTTTGACATGGGGGTCAAGGTGAGGGACAAGCATGGGACAGCGTGGCCTGCCCTTCACAGAGTTCAGCTCCAGGCACTGTCACATGCCTGCAGAACATCTGTGCCTGAGGTAGCACAGAAAAACTGTGGGCTCCTGGAAACTGTAAGGGAGGCTGGCACCATCACGGGAGGGTCAGGTACTTGTTCTGCCAGAAACAAAGAGCACGAGGGAGAAGCACGGTGCTGCTAGCACCAGAAAGTGGTTGTGACCAACGCTATGGCCAGCACCAGAAATCAAAAAGCAGTGACTGCAGCTGTAGATTTCCAGAAGCTGTTGTTTTATCCACTGCCCTTTCATAGATGATGGTACAGAGAGTGAGCAGTAGAGAGATCTGACTTCAGTATCATTAATTTTGTCAGTCCACTTTTTCAGGACACTCAGAGGTCTGTTGTATGAGCGTAGCTGGTGCTATGGCTGTATAGGAGGGGTGTATATATGGCTGAAGGAGGGATGGAGTACCTCAGGATTTCAACTTGTGCCTGAGCTGGCTGGATCTGGGGTTTCCACATCAAATGCTGAAGTGCTGGGATGTGGGAAGGAGGGTTTCCATCTTCTCCGTGTGGCCAGTTCAGCAGAAACACTGGCCATCACTCAAGAGAGCCTAAGACGGGCTGTCCATGGGCTACATCCAGTCCAGGCAAGCAATTTCGAGTTTTTCAGGGAATAGCCACCTCTCATATCTCCCAATATAAAAACTTTCCCCTTAGTATTTCACCACCACTTCACTGGGGAGAAGAGCAGCACAGTGTAGTTACATAGGCTGTGTTAAGCATACTAAGCACAGAAATTGGTGTGGTTTACTTTCTGATGTTTCAATACAAGTGTCAGAAGAAGTCACAGCAGGAGCCAAAATCACCTTTATTCCCTCATCCTGCACCCCAATGGTGTGTGTTTATGGCATATAGTAAGTTACCTCCGATTCCTTTTAGGTTAGGATTTTAAACAAGAAGATCGATTTTAGCGATATTCAGTCCCGCTGTGGTTCCAGAGATAACATCAAACATTCTGCAGGGGGAGGAAATGTAAGTAGTACAGACACCCTGTGAACAGGCATCTCCACTGTGGTGACCCACCTTGCACAGCCAGACCCCTCTGTCTCCCCCCCTCTGAGCACTACTTTCCTTCTTGCTACTGTTTCACACGTGAGTCTGGTCTGGTAGCTGTGTGAGCCCTGTGTATGCAGTGGTGGCCTCCCGAGCTTCCTCCACAGAGTACAGCATGGTTCCAGGACTTGCACAGGATAAAGAAATGGGAAAAGAAGGGTTACCTCTAAATGCCCAAGGGTGCTGACAGTAAAAGTCTCGTGTAAGCCAACATGGTTTAGTGCCTTTCATGAGAGCAGCCCAAGACGGCAGTTTCTAGAAAAGAGACTGCACCTCACAGGGAGACCCCAACCTCATGGCTGGCCATCTTCTGTCGGTCCTTCCTCAGCTCACCTTTGTGCATTCATTGGAGAGGAAGAACTAAAGTAAAACCTAAGGACAAAGTGCTATCAGCCAGCAGGCCGAGTGCTCGTGCTACCGCCGCGGCACTAGCCCGGTGTAACAAGCTGAGGTTGCTCAGGGTTTGACCAGACATGGTCCCAGCGGTTGTGCTGGAACAGCTCAGGGCAGCCCTCACCCCCCAGTGGAAACGGTCTCCCCTCTGACGGGAGAGCTGACTGCGGGCACGTCTGGTCCAGAGAGAGCCACCAGCGATGCGAGCG